CACCCACACCCGCAGGTCTCGACCCTCCGCGCCGCCGACGCGTGGGCCGGCGTCTTTTGCGAGAGCGACATCTTTGGCACGCTCGCCCCGTCTGCTCCCGGCACCGCGCACGCCCTCACCGACCACAACATCGTCACCGCCACCTTCGCGCTCCCCGTGACCGGCGGCGGCGGCGGCGCTGCCGCCGCGACCGCCGCCTTTGAAGCCTCCGTCGCGGCGTGGCGCGAGCCGAGTGGTGCGCAGGAGGCGCGGCTCGAGATTCGTCGAGATTCGCTGAGATTCGCTGAGGCTCGCCGAGATTCGCCGAGATTCGCCGAGATTAGCGATCAGTGGTGGAGGCTCTGCCACACGGCAGCGGCTCGGCGGACTGCTCGTCTTCCACTCCTGAGCCGCCTTCCCGGAACCTTCCCGGAACCTTCTCGGAACCTTCTCGGAGCCTTCCCGCAGGCGGCGTGCGGCCAGCAGGGCGCCGTCTGCTTCTACGACACAAACTGCTGCGAGGCGGCCTTCTCGTGGACGGGCGTCGAGCAGCACTGCGTCTACTACGAGTGCACGCCCGACGACGACGATTTCGCCCAGTGGCTCGTCATCGCACTCCCCCTCCTCGGCGGGGTGCTGCTGCTGGCCTGCTGCGGCGCGGCACTCTGCTATTGGCGGAGGAGGAGACGTGCGGCTGGCAAGCCGGCGGCGGAGGCGTCGAGGGGGGAGGCGGTCATCGGTGAGGCTGCTTAAGACCGCGAACCGATGTGCATGTTCGATGCCAAAGAAAATAAGAATTTTAAACAAAACAACAGAGCTCTCTCAAACAGCAGACAGGTGCTCGACACAGGAACGGTGTAAGGCCGGGCGCACCCTTTCACGCTCACGCGGGGAGCGGATCGCCGGATGTGCCGTGAAAAGATACGGTTTGATCTGACTCACCAAATGTGCTCGCTGCGGTGAGACTTTAATCTCTTTGGCTGCCTGCCACGATCCCAGATCTGGCCGTCTCTCGCATGGAAATTAGGGTCACCCACGCGCACCGGGCCTTGCAGTTTAAATGCCGTGGGGCTCCTGTCGTTAGACGTGGAGACGCGAGGGTTGCCCCCCCTTGCCCCACCACCTCGTGTGTGTGGAGAAGTTTACCTTACCTTACCTTACCTTGGAAATTAGGCCAGGTACGTGAGTGCGCTGCACGTGCGCCGAGGGCGCGGCAACACCGCGCTCTGCGGGGACGCCCTCCTACGTCACAGCAAATCGGGCGGCCGACCCACCAGCCCGCTCACCCGGAAGCCAAACCCGCGCCCCCCCATCACTCCGCCGCTGCTGCTCCGCCCGGCGGTGGCGGGCGCCGCCGCCTCCGCCGCCGCGGCCTCGGCGATCGAGGCGGCGCTGAAGCCTCCGCCGGCGCTCCTCCGCACTGAGGGTGACCACGTGCGAGCCTGTTCACACCGCGAGCTGTGAACACACGCTGCCGCGCCGGCGCGGTTGGAGCCGGCGAGGCACTGCCAGCAGCGGAGAGAGATGCAGCTGCGAGGTGGAGGCGCCGAGCACCATTGGAGGTGGGTTGTGTCCAGACATGCCCCGCTCGAGCGACGCCGTCGCGTCGAGGTCGACGGAGATATCGCGGTCAAGCAACGTCGAGATCGACGTCGAGATCCGCCGCATCCCTCCCGAAGTCAGCCGCTGCAGCTGGTGCGGCGCACCGCGCGGGAACGTCGCGCCGAGCAGCGCCGCGTCGCCGCCGTCGCCGCCCGCCGCGCCGCCAAAGTCCAGCTGCCGCGGCTCTGCGCCCCGCCGCGAAGGGTGACGCGAGGGCAGCCGCCGTGACTTGAGCTCTCGCAATCTCTCTGGCGACTCGTACGACGCCGCCCTCCGCTGGCCATGGCCAGGCGCGGAGTTGGAGCGGGGCGGGGAGCAGAGGTAGGGGTCGCCCAGCGTGGGGTCGCCTGTTCACAGCGGGGAGGTGTGAAGAGAGGGGGAGCAGAGGTAGGGGTCGCCCAGCGTGGGGTCGCCTGTTCACAGCGGGGAGGTGTGAAGAGAGAGGGAGCAGAGGTAGGGGTCGCCCAGCGTGGGGTCGCCTGTTCACAGCGGGGAGGTGTGAAGAGAGGGGGAGCAGAGGTAGGGGTCGCCCAGCGTGGGGTCGCCTGTTCACAGCGGGGAGGTGTGAAGAGAGGGGGAGCAGAGGTAGGGGTCGCCAAGCGTGGGGTCGCCTGTTCACAGCGGGGAGGTGTGAAGAGAGAGGGGGAGCAGAGGTAGGGGTCGCCAAGCGTGGGGTCGCCTGTTCACAGCGGGGAGGTGTGAAGAGAGAGGGGGAGCAGAGGTAGGGGTCGCCCAGCGTGGGGTCGCCTGTTCACAGCGGGGAGGTGTGAAGAGAGGGGGAGCAGAGGTAGGGGTCGCCAAGCGTGGGGTCGCCTGTTCACAGCGGGGAGGTGTGAAGAGAGAGGGGGAGCAGAGGTAGGGGTCGCCAAGCGTGGGGTCGCCTGTTCACAGCGGGGAGGTGTGAAGAGAGAGGGGGAGCAGAGGTAGGGGTCGCCCAGCGTGGGGTCGCCTGTTCACAGCGGGGAGGTGTGAAGAGAGAGAGAGAGAGAGAGCAGAGGTAGGGGTCGCCCAGCGTGGGGCCGCCGAGTGGGTCTGATATGACGACGTCGGACAGCGCTGCGCCGGAGGAGCAGGAGAAGGAGGAGGGCAGGCCGACCTCCTCCAACAGCCGCTGGCCTGACACGCCCCGCCTCCCCTCGTCGAGAGAAACCGCCTTGCCCAGCCGCGCCAGACGCGACGGCGCCACGCTCCGCGCAGACTCGCAGATGGCGGCGGCCAGCTGCTGGCCGCCTGCGTGAGAGTCAACCGGCCAACGCATTGGCGATAGTGAATTATTGACGCCTGGGCCGATGGCAGCTCCGACATGCGACCAAGAGTCAAGAATCACAGTTAATATTAATATTTAATAATGAATAGCTCACCTGGGCCGATAGCGGCACCGACGTAGGGCGGCGCGGCGGGCGGCGCATCCGAGAAGCCTATTTTTCTTTTTTCTCTGCTAGCAAAAGAAAAGAAATATCGCCGGGCGGCGCATCAGAGACGCCGCGGCCGGCGGCGACGGTACCGCGCTTGGTGATCAGGTAGACACCTAAAGAACAGATCCAACCACTGAAAGTTCACTCTGATTCACCCTCGGTACCGCCCTCGGTGATGACGGCAGACACCTAGTACACGTCAGCTGGGGAGTAGCACTTCATCACCCTCGGTACCGCGATTGGTGGTGAGGTGGACACACCGCTGAAGCAGAAGAGGCAGCCGGAGACGAAGCCGAAGGCGGTGAGGGGCGTGAAGCGCCAAAAGTCCTATCCGTTATGAAGTGTTGATCATCAGCGAATTAAGCCATAACTAAGAGCTCATCGATTAATCAAAGGTCCTGGTAGACGATACCGCCGCCGGAGATGGAGCAGATGGTGAAGGAGAGGTAGTAGACCTGATTAATTAATGAATGACTTAATGATTGACTCGCCGGAGATGGTGGAGCAGATGGTGAAGGAGGGGTAGCATAGTAGACCGGCACGACGGCGCTCGAGTCAAAGTGCTTCTGCGCCAAGTTGAGGTGCTTCAGCTGGAGGACCTGCGAAGTATAGCCGCGAGATTGCGATCTGGACTAGTGAGCTGGAGGGCGAAGTACAGCCGCGAGATTGCGATCTGGACTAGTGAGCTGGAGGGCGAAGTACAGCCGCGAGATGCGATCTGGACTAGTGAGCTGGAGGGCGAAGTACAGCCGCGAGATGCGATCTGGACTAGTGAGCTGGAGGGCGAAGTACAGCCGCGAGATTGCGATCTGGACTAGTGATCTGGAGGGCCTGCGAGGTACAGCCGCGAGATTGCGATCTGGACTAGTGATCTGGAGGGCGAAGTACAGCCGCAAGATTGCGATCTGGACTAGCTAGCGGTACTACGAACGGACGACTTGTGGCTGAGCGAGATTGCGATCTGGCGCGAGATTGCGATCTCGACTAGCTACTACGAACGGACCACTTGTGGCTGAGCGAGATTGCGATCTGGCGCGAGATTGCGATCTCGACTACTTGTGGTGGCTGAGCAAGCAGTTCACCGCGGTGGAGACGAGGACGGGTAGAAGCAGGTAGGGGATCGGAGAGCGCAGCACCTATTAGTTGATGAGTGATTAAACACGTAGTTCAGGGTTAGTTAAGTCCGGGATCGGAGAGCGCAGCACCTATTAATGAGTGATTAAGCGCTTACTTAAGGGTTAATAAAGTACGGGATCGGGGAGCTGCAGTACCTAATTAATTAGTGCTTCAGCACTTAATTAAGGGCTAATCAAGTCCGGGATCGGGGAGCGGCAGTACCGACGGGTCTTCGCCCAAATGAGTGATGAAGTGCGAGATGGCGGAGGAGGAGAGGACGGTGATGGAGCCTACGGGGAGATAGGGGGAGATATGGGGAGATGTGAGGAGATACGGAGGAGGAGGGGACGGTGATGGCGCCAAGCAGCGAGCAGAGGCCGACGTTTAGCAGCAAGTACCTGCGTGGCGAAGACGCAAACATCTTTGCGCGAGTTCGGGTGCTGTGCAGCCAGAGCATCGCGTGGGTACGACAGAGGCGAATACGGTCGAATACAGCGAATGCGGTCGAATACGGTCGACGGAAGGCGTGTCCTCTCGAGGTCTCGCTGCTTGTGACTACGGACTCCGCTTCTAGTGGCAGACACCGGTGCCCGAACTTTGGTTCCGAGAGCCAAAGCAGCAGGATTCCAGCGCCGACGACGGCGAAATAGATGAGGGAGGGGGGCGCGGTGACGAGCGTTTTAAAGGAGGTGAGGGAGAGGTCCTCCACAGCCGGCGGCGCCTAGTTGGTTCGTTGTTGACACGTCATCATTCAGTGTGGAGAGGGGGAGGTCCCTCCAACAGCCGGCGGCGCGTTGAGCACGACGACCACGGAGCCGAAGACGGTGACGACGATTCCGAGAAGGTTCCGGAGGTAGAAGCGCTCCTAGCCAGTCGAGAGGCACTGATCAGCACTAGCGAATTAGCTGCTCGGCAACTGGGGGCACTGGCACTGGGCGCGCCTTTAGCACGAGGAAGGCGATGGCGGCGTTGGCGATGACGGCGACGGCGCCGAGGGGCGACACCACGGTCGGGCTGGCGAGGCCGAAGGCGGCGAAGTTGCCGACCTCGCCCAGCATCAGTCCGAGCAGCGCCACAGGGAAGAGCGTGCGGGCGCGCGCTGCTAACCTCGGCTCCTCGTCTTCGCGCTCGAAGGCCATGTGCACCCACTTTTGGAGGGCGAGGCTGCACGCGATCAGCAGGTTCCCGCTAACAGCGAGGATGATGCCGAGGTGGAGCGGCGTGAAGGTGTGCTCCCAGATGGAGCTGGTCTTCCCGCCGAACGGCACCCATGTCATCGGCGCGGCACGTAGGGGCCGGTGCGAACGGGCTGGCGCAGCGCGCCGCGCTGTGCTGCAAAAAAATGGCCCACGGCCTCTAAGCGGAGCTGGGAATAGGACCGCCGCAAGCGGCGTGGCGTGGAGCGGTTGAGCATCCCTCCGGGGGGCCCTCTGCGCCGGGGAGGAGGCTAGGACGCAAGCGTCCGTCGCCCTTTTGGGCCCGCAGGGGTCGGCGCGAATGGGCCCGCGAGCGGCGGCGCGCTGTGCTGCAAAAAAAGAATTTGAAAAAAGAATTTAAACAAAAGAGTCTCTCTCACAGTATACAGGCTCGACACAGGTGCGAACAAAGGACACAGCAGACGGCCCCCTCAGGGGCCATCGTCATCGAACAAGTCGATCTCTGCACGATTTAGCCCTCCCGAGCCGTAATCCTCCCCAAAGGGAGCGAGCTCCGCGCGCTCCTCGCGCTCCTCCTTGGCGCGCCCCTTCGCCGCCCGCCGGCGGCGGTGGTTCGCGTCCGCCTCTCCCACGCCTTCCTCCGCCTTGAGGAATTTGAGCCTCCATGGCTCCTGCTTAAGCAGGAGCGCCTCGACAGCCGCAAGAGCAGCGACCGTCGCAAGCCGCCTCCCGAGAGAGGCCGTCCGCGAGCGCCGCCGCATGCGCCGCCAACCCAGCCGCCTTTCGCGCCTCAAAGTTGGCATCCCCGTACTCCTCGATGTCCAGCCACCACTTATCGTCCCACTTTTCACCGGTGTCGTGGGAAAAAAAAGAACATAAACAGCGAAGCGGGGTTGAAAAACAAGAACCGAAAAGAACAAGGAAAAGAAATCGTGGGCGGGGGGGCTGTAACCCCAAAGGGGTGCGTGTGTAAAGAACATATGGAGCGAGGAGCGGGGCGGCGCGAGCGGCGGCGCGCACGGCTGTGCTGCAATCGTGTGTTTGGCGTCATGTTGTGCATCGCAGCTGCGTATTCTCGTATTATCTTCGAGTAAGGTATTGCGTGGGGACGGTGCGTATTCTCGTATCACTAGCTCCGAGTAGAGGGGGCGTTCCGCAGCTAGGGGAAACCCGGAGCGCAGAACTAACCCTCGGAGACCCGTGTTATGGCCCTGCGACCGCGCACCCCCGGGGCTAGGGCTCTCTTGCCCGTAACCCGATGCCGAGCGTCCGGCCAACTGGGTGCGCTTCTCAGCTCCCCGGTCCTGGGCGTGAGGTTAATGACTGCACTCCAAGTCCAAGTCTTTAGATCGGTCAGCTCGGGGCGCGTGAGCCGGACTTGGGGGCCGGACGGCTTTCATTTTCTCTCTGCGTTCTCGCACATGGAGTGCGAGGTATCTCGTCTGTCGCCGTCCCAAACTGTCACTCCCCTCTCTCCCGGCCAAGGTGGGGCGCGCGCGGGGGCGGCGGGTGTGCGGCGGGTGTGCGGGATGTCTGTGGGACCGAGAGAGCGATGTGCTTGTGTCCGGCCTTGGCCCTTGCGTGTTTGTTTCATACGTATAACATCGATGATCGAAGGCGCTGGGGAAGAAGAGAGCAATCATTCATGTATAAAAAAGCTCAACAACCAAAGTCCAAACATCTCCACAGCAGGCGACGCACACACCACACTTGCAAGCTCGTATGTCGTAACGCAAAATGAGATGCCGCGGCGCGCCGGTCCGGTCCCCAGGACTAAATTACGCGAACTGGACACCGCTCCCTCCACCGGGCACCGCTCCTGCGTCAGGCTGCAACCGCCCTCTCTCCCCCCCTGTGAGCAGCAGCTGCACCGCTTCCCCGCCATGCCAACCCCCCTCCCCTCCCCCCTTCCCCTTCCCCCCCCCCTCCACCCTTGCGGTTCAAACCCACCCGGCCCCCCCCCCCCCTCCTCCTCTTCCTCCTCACAACACCCACCCGCCCGCCCGCCCACCAAACCCGCACCCGCGCGCGCCCGGCACCGCCCCTGTGCGTCGTGCTCCGCAGCCGCAGGGTCTGTTGCTCTCTGCCGAGCTCGCGCGGCGGTCCCGCCGGGCCCCGCGCCCTCGCCGCCCGGCCGGGGCTGGAGAGGCTCAGACCAGCCTGATGCCGCGCTCCTCGCACACGGCCACCAGCTCAGGCTGCTCCTCGTTGTCCACGACGAGCGTCTGCACGCGAGGGGAGGAGCGATGAGTATTGGGCGGGGGAGGGGCGTGTGGCGAGGGGGGGGGGGGGGCGTGTCGCGCCTTCAAGCTCGGGGCGGCCCCCTCCTTGAGGGCGGCGGCCAGCGCCTTGCAGCCCTCGTCGCCAATCTTGTTGCGCTGGAGAGAGAGCGTCTCGAGCCGCGGCGCTGCCCCCTCCTTGCCGAGGGCGGCGGCCAGCGCCTTGCAGCCCTCGTCGTCAATCTTGTTATCGTAGAGATTGAGGTCCTCGAGCCGCGGCGCTGCCCCGCTCGCGAGGACCTCCGCCAGCTGCGCCGCCTCCGCGTCGCCCCAGCCGAGGCCGATGTAGCTCAGCACGGTCGCCTTGCCAAACTGCTCCTTGAAGGCGGCCTCGTACAGCCGCTTCACCAGCGGCTTGTCGTCCTTGCCGTTGGTGAAGCTCTTCTTCTCCAGCTCCGCCGCGAACGCAGACGGCAGCAGCGGAGGGCGCCGGCCGCCGTCCTGGATGCAGTCGTCGGTGAGGCTGAGGAAGTCGTACTCCTTGCCGCCGCGCATCTTGCCGAGGTCGAGCGAGAGGAAGCTGGCCTTTGTCAGGCCAGCCCAGCTCTGCTCCGTGAAGCACCAGCCGCGGTCAAAGTACTTGGCCACGTTGGTGCCCTCGGCCTGGTCCTCCGCCTTGTGGCCGTCCGGGAAGGAGGTCAGTCGCAGCACGAAAGTGTACTTGTGGGAGTAGAGCGTGCCGAGGCAGCTCAGCCCCTGCTTGAAGAGCGCGTTCTGCTCCTCGGTGCGCATGTCGCCGTTGGCGGGGTCGGGGTGCTGGTGCAGCGAGCCGAAGTCCCAAAAGACGCCGAGCCGCGGGATGACAGTGAGCAGGGCCTTGAGCGCCCTCGCGACGCGGGCGAGGTTGGCTCCGCGCGGGTCGGGGTGGTCCTTGGTCAGCCACGGGTAGGAGAGCGCTCCGACAGGAAGCCGATCCGCATACTCGCTGGTCGCCTCGACGAGGTCGGCGAAAGAGAGGAAGGCCTCCTTGGGCAGCGCCTGGCGGTGGTTGAGGACGCCGCCCGCCTCGGCGTGGCGGATGATCCACTGCGCGTCGAGGAGGGCGACGGCGCCGCTCTCGAGGACACGCTCCAGGTCGCCGCCGCCGAGCTTGCGCCACTGCTCCAACATTTCCCCGAAAGTCCTCGGACGCACCCACGAGTCGTAGGTCGGGCCCGTCTTGCTGTTGCCGCAGCCCATCGCTTCGCCTGCCTGTGTAAGGCCGATCGACTTTGAGCACCTGTGTATCTGTCCAGGAAGCCGGGGCGGGCGATCGACTTCCAAAGAATATAAACAAAGCAATGTTGACTCTCGGACCGTTACGGAAAAGCATGCGCGACGCTGCCTCTTTGCACCGCTCGCTCGCGGCTGCAGAGACATGGCCGCCGATGCGGCTCGCACTCGCTCGGCGGGCCTCCGTCCCACAGCCGCCCGGGCGTGCCACGGGTCTGCCTGGCGCTGCGCTGCTCGCACGCTGCACTGCACAAAGCTGTGACAACAAGGGGAGGCTCCTGAGCTTGAGCGTTGAGCAGTGCAGCTGCGGGCGCTCGTGGGCGGCTGTGCAGTGGTGAGAGTGCCTGATTGGAGGCGAGCTGGTGCTGCGCCAGGGTGCGCAGCATGCGCTCTTGCTCTGTGCTGAGGCATGCTGGCTGGCGCCCAACACAATGCCCTGGATGCATTGCTCCACGCCGTGCTGGCTGGTGCAGTACTGCCAGTGCGCCGACTGGCGCGCAGGGTGCGCGTCGCCGCGCGTGGCACGGGTGGCTCGAGAGGCGCGGCTGTCGTTCAACCCCGCGGCGCATGTGCGCCGCGGAAGCTGCTCGACAGGCTGCGGGCATCGCTGCGGCAGAAAGCGCCCGCCCTCTGCTTTGCTTTCGCCCGCGTTTTACGACAACTTTCGGTTTAGCATAGCCGCCGAACTTTACCTCGCTGTTTCTTTATAGGCGTCTCGCAGCTGCGTATTCTCGTATTATCTTCGAGTAGTTGCGTGGGGGCGGTATGTATTCTCGTATCAGTAGTTAGTGTCGTGTCCACTAGCTCCGAGTAGAGGGGGCGTTCCGCAGCTAGGGGGACCCACAGCGCGAGGGAAAAATTCCGCCGCTGGGGTCACCCAAAGCGCAGAACTAACCCTCGGAGACCCGTGTTTACTTTTATATGATAGTAATAGAGCAGTTTGGTCGGAGGGCGCCCGGGTCGCCCCGGAGCGGCCCCGCGCGGGGAGGTGGGTGGAGGGCGGGCGCCACGCCGTCGGGCAGGCCGCGCGGGGACGCAGCCGGGGCCAGCGCGCGGCGCTAGAGGGCCGGGCGCAAACTTGTTGCACCTGCACCTGCACCTGCACCTGGGTGCCGCGAGTTTTGGTGGTTCGAAAAGCGGAGCGCGCAGTCCGTTGTGGTTCGAGACACGGACGGCGCCGGCGGGAGCGACGCGGCCGGCGAGGCGCCGCAGTCGGTCGCCTTCCTGCCGGTGATCAGCGAGCCGGTCGAGCGTGACCAGTTGCATTCGAATCTGAGCACCACATTGAGGCCGTTGGTGGAGAGGGAGCGTCGCGAGCGAGGTGACGAGGATGGAGCTGTGGGTGTAGCCGGTCGAGGCACGGCCGCGTCGTCCACGACGAGTCGTCGGAGAAGGGCGAGACGTCGAAGCGCCGTGACGGTGATTCTCGGGCCGAGGCCGATGTCTCGTAGGGAGGAGCTGACTTGTCAGCGCCTTCGCAACGCGGTTCAATTGTGGACGACGGTGTACACGGCGATGGGATGGTGCGACGACATGCGGGACAAGCTGCGATTGCACATGCTTCTGCATGCTACGTGTTCGCACCGCGAGGTCGAACCGAGGTTTATACGGGTGTGCACACCTCGCCGTATAGAGGAGCATCGCACACGATGCAGTACGGAAAGAGGCGACGGCATTGGACGCATCGCACAGCTTTGTGAGGGCGCCCTCTGCCGTTGGCGCAGTGGGTGGTTGGCATCGCAGTCGTGGCGTGCACGAGTATGAGCGCCGGTAGAGGGACGCCCAGCACGTGCCGTACGGTAGCGGGCGACGAGGACGTAATCGCAGTTTCCGGGGACCAGTTTTGCACCAAGTCGTTGGTCAAACAGTCAAGCTTGGACGCACCTTGCGCCTGACTGAATGATTCATTGGACGTGGGCAAAGAAAAGAAATTGGTAGCAAAACCTGGGAGGCGGAGATCCGTCTCGTCGGTTGTGCTCCGGAGATCTCCATATTGATCTCGGAAACTTGCAAACGCAAGAGTGTCTTGGGCGCGCTGCCCATCGGGCTTGACCCATATGACCCGCCGGGTCAGCATGGCGTAGGAGATGTTGCTCGGAGCTGTTTTGGCTGAGCTCACCAGCTCTGCAGTCCATGGTTCGAACTCGGCTTCGCGATCGCGGAGCGACGCGGGCGCGCGCGTGTGCGACTGCGACAAGACGAGACGAGCCGGGCCGGCGGCGGCGGCGGCGGCGGCGGCGGCTGCGGCGGCGGCGTCGAACCTTTTGTAGCGGTCATCGAGATCGTAAGCGGTAACGCTGACACCCGGTTCGGGCGAGCGTGGTGCGTCGAGCCAGTCGCAGCGCATCCACCACAGGGGGGGGTACAGCTTTGTGCAAAGCATCCACGGGCCGCGTGCCGAGGTAGATCGTCTCGGCGGGCTCGAGGGTTTGAAGGTCGGGGTTCGTTCCACCTCACAGAGGCTCCATGTCGGCGTATACACGCCGGCCAGGAGCGGGAGCGCCAGAGAGAAGCCAAAAAGCATGACTAGCAAAGGATCTCTCTAACGCCGCGGTCAAAAGAGACCGACGGACCTTGAATTTCGGCGGCGCCGAAATTCACACAAGACTGTGAACACACCCACAGGACGCCGAGTACAAGACAATACGAAAGGAGTGTACTCAGGCAGTCAGGGACGGGTGAGTTCAAGAACATACTAAGAGCACCTAAAGGAGCAAGGCATAGCTGTGAAGTGGTTTCCACTGACAAATGTGTATTCTCGTAACATGCGCGTATTCTCGTATCACTGGCTCCGAGTAGAAAAAGAAAGAAAACATGTCTACACGTTAGCTCCGAGTAGAGGGGGCGTTCTGCAGTTAAGGGAAAACCCGGTACACGGAACCAACCCTCGGAGAGTATTCTTTAGCTCCGAGTAGAGGGGGCGTCCTGCAGTTAAGGGGAAACCCGGTACGCGGGGCTAACCCTCGGAGACCCGTGTTTACTTTACAGCCCTTGCCCTGCGAACGCGCACCCCCGGGGCTAGGGCTCTCTAGCCCGTAACCCGATCCCGATCATCCGGCCCGCTGGGTGCGCTTCTTAGCTCCCCGGCCCTGGATGTGAGGTTGATAACTGCACTCCAAGTGCTCCAAGAACTCTCTCTCACAGCACACAGGCTCGACACAGGTGCGAACTGGCGCGTGCTAGTACTATCACCGGCACACCACCGGAGCCGCCTAAGCGACTCCGTTAAGAACGGCAATGCACTTAGCTCCGTGCACAATGCCGCTGTCCCCGCACGCCAGCTCGTTCACCGTCTGCCACGCCACGGCGGTGTGGAGAACGACAGACAAGCGCTGCATCTGCAGCCCGTGCCAGTTCTTGGTGGTCCATGTGACCTCATCGAGGTGCTGAGCGTGCGAAAGTTTGTTACTCAGCTGGTCCGCCGCCTGCCGAAGAATTTTGCGGACGCCGTCCCCGAAGCCGCCGAACGTCTCGAAGTCGAGCAAACGCAGGTCACCCACGCCGGCCAGGCGCCTCCTCTGCTGCTCGCCGCAGGAGAGCTGCTCGTCGTCGAGATGCTCGGTTTTTGGAAGCCCTCGGGCCTCGCCACAAGTCTCTCTGGCTCTGCGTTCGGCCCCGGGCGTCGCGCCGTGGCGGCGCCAGCAGGTGGGCTCCAGCGCCGCCCCGCGCGCGCGCACGCGCGGCGGCGACGCCTCCGCACCGCCCCTGCCGCCGCCCGGCCGAGCGAGGAGCAGGAAGACGAGCAGAGACATGCTGTCTCAAACTCCCTCCGCGTTTTCTTCTTTTGGGAGGGTCCGGCGGGGAGGGCGGGGTGGGTCGGGACGGGGTGGGGCTTTGGGGAGGGGTCCGGGGTGGGGTGGGTTGGGGCGGGTGTCGGAGGAGGGGATTTCGGACGCCGGCTCTTGTGGCGAGGACGATGGCTTCTAAGGAAGCCGTCGTCTGAACAATAAAATGAACTCGGGGGCACGGGACGCGGCACAAACGGGGCACAAACGCCAGGCTACAAAGACGGGGAGGCACGTAGTGACGCAGGGGAGTCTAGGCGACGGCGGCGTCCTCCGACGCCGCGGCGAGCCTGAGCTCGGTCGCAATCTCTTCCGCCGCCGCGAGCTGCAGCGCGACTGCGCCTTGTCTGTCGTGTCAATCGTGCGTGTGCGCTCTCTCTCCGTGTGCGAGAGCCTGTAATCGTGAAATTCTTCTTTTTCCACGCGGTTAAGCCCGCAGCCCGAGCCATGGCCTCGCCGCGAGGCAAACCAGGCCGGCGGCGCGGCGGCGGGCGAGCCGCAGCCGCACCCGCCTGCGCGACGGCACAGCGTTCCTCGGCCTTCGACGCGGACACCTGGCAGGCCGCCCTCAACGAGCAGCTGGAGGCGCTCGAGCGCGCGGCCGGTGCGCACACTCCCGCAGCGGCCGCCTGCCGCCTGACTCCTCCGCTTCCAGCGCACCCCGTCCGCCCCTCCTCTCCTCCCACCACACTCGCATCGCACCGTATGGTCGGACGTCAGAGGAGCGTGGCCGTGGCACTCCAATGGCCATTAGCCGCCCCGTTCCGGTCCACACTATGCCACTGCCACCGCCACCGTTGCACTGCCGCTCTCCCCGTCTCCGCCGAGTTCCTTCCGTGACGCCACCCACCCCGATCTCAAACGACGAACGCTCCACCGCCTACTGCCTCTCCCCGACCACCGCCCGCCCTCGCCGCGCCCCTGCCTCCACCCGCGTCCACTCCCGCCACCGCAGCTGCCTAGGGTGCCGCCTAGGATGTGCCGCCAAGGGTGCCGCCACCGCCCTCACGCGCTGCTCCCTGCAGCTGCACCCACACCGCGCAGCTAGCTCGTTCACCGCCGCCCCCCCTCCCCGCCACCGCCCTCCCCCCAACCACAAGCGCCCGCAAGAGACACACCTTTGGAGCAGCTCCTCCGCCGCCTGCAGGCGCCTGCAGCTAGCCTTCCCGCGCCTCCTGCCAACGAGAAGAAGAAATGCGCGACGCTGTATTTCTTTTTAGGCGCCAGCAGCTAGCCTTCCCGCGCCTCCCTGCCGACGAGGAAAAATACCCCGTTGTTTTTCTTTTTTTTAGGCGTCAGCAGTTGGGCCGCGCCTCCCGTAGACGAGAAGGAGCTTGTCTGGCGAGCGGACGGCTCGAGGTGTGAAGAGGACGCCGTTCACACGTTGTGCTGTGAACAGGAGCTCGTCTGGCGAGCGGACACGATGCTGGAGCGGTCCTCGTTGTCGGTGGAGGAGTGTGCGTGTGTTCGTTGGTAACAGGCGTGCGAATGCGATGCTTGAGGTGCCGCACTACGAGCAAAAGAAAACCGAGGGAGGACTCCTTTTTTAGGCGCGCGACTGCGATGCTTGAGCTGCCGCACTACGAGCAAAAGAAAACCGAGGGAGGACTCCTTTTTTAGGCGTGCGACTGCGATGCTTGAGCTGCCGCACTACGAGCAAAAGAAAACCGAGGGACGACTCCTTTTTTAGGCGCGCGACTGCGATGCTGGAGCCGCCGCACTACGAGCAAAAGAAAACCGAGGGGGGACTCCTTTTTTAGGCGCGCGAATGCGATGCTTGAGCTGCCGCATTGTGGCAGCATCGAGGAGCAAGGTGAGGGGCAGTTCCGAGACGTTCCGAGACCGTTCCGAGACCGTTCCGAGACCGTTCCGAGACAGTTCCGAGATGCTTCAGAGACGATCCATGAGACACTTCATTTGTCATACTTTTGAGAGCGCAGCATAGCGAGGCGGGCAATCGGGTGACGAACACTTGACAATTGATACCATCACCAATTCCCCGTTTCAGGCGCCATATCTCCCCATATCTCCCCATATCTCCCCATATCTCCCCATATCTCCCCATATCTCCCCATATCTCCCCATATCTCCCATATCTCCCCATATCTCCCCGTTTCAGGCGCCACCGCGCTCGCCCTGCTGCGTGGCGAACCTTCCGCGAAGCTTCCTGCGGCGGGCATCGAACCTTCCGCGAAGCTTCCTGCGGCGGAGGAGGAGAAGGCGGCGGCGGAGCAGGCGGCGGAGGCGGAGGAGGGAGCGGCGGCGGCGGTAGAGGCGGATGCGGCGGTGGCGGAGGAGGAGGAGGCGGCGGTGGCGGAGGAGGCGGCGGCGGCGGCGGCGGCGGCGGCGGCGGCGGCGGCGGCGGCGGCGGCGGCGGCGGCGGCGGCGGGCGGCGGGGCGTGTCCCACGATAGTGACGCATGCCGTGCCTGTGCCGCCGAGCGCCATCGGCAAGGTCATCGGGCCAAGGGGCGCCAACCTTCGCACGCTGCGCACGAGGAGCGGCCGCGGCGTGGGAGATGCGGCGAGATGAGGACGGGATTGGGTGTGGTTAATTCTGAGGATGAAGTGCAGGAGCGGCTGTGACGTGGAGATGCCGCGGCACGAGGACGAGCTCGGCGAGCGAGATTCGCCGAGATTCGCCGAGATTCGACGAGATTCGACGAGATTCGCCGAGATTCGCCGAGATTAGCCGAGATCCCTCCCAAATCCCCCCCCCCTCCTCCCCCTCCACCTTCACCCCCCCCCCCCCTCTCGGCTGTGAACAGGGCGCCGCCTCCTACACCTGACTGGCACGCCGGCGGCGGTGCGGAGAGGGCAGGCGCTGCTGCAGGTCCAATCTCGGCCCAATCTCGAGGAACTCGGTCCAATCTCGGTCCAATCTCGAGGAATCTCGGGCGAGCTCGGTCCGGTCTCGTGCAGTCGCTTCGAGATCTGGGGAGATCGCGGCTGATCTGGGGAGATCGCGGCTGAGATCTGGGGAGATCGGCGGCTGACCGCTGGAGGGCTGCTGCAGGGGCTGCTGCTGCTGCGGAGAGGAGGCAGCGTCGAGGCGTATTGGGAAGAGGTCAGCCTGAAGGGCGAGGCGCCGCCAGACGCCGCTGCAGCCGAGGGGCTGCCGCCGCCGCCGCCCGCCGTCGTCGACGCAGTCCCATGGGCGCGAGATTCTCCGAGATTCTCCGAGATTCCCCGAGATTCCCCGACCTATTCCCGCCCCGACCTCTTCCCGCCCCTACCTCTTCCCGCCCCGACCTCTTCCCACCCCGACCTCTTCCCGCCCCTACCTCTTCCCGCCCC